TTTCAACATCTCTTAAAAAATCACTATATACAATACCAAACTCTCCTTTACCAATTTTTTTTTAATTCTAAAAAGAATTATATTATATTTAAATGATTTTATATATTTTTGTTCAATAGCTATTTTAACTCATCTGATATATATGTTTGATATATTGTATATCAGCTTTTATATTCTAATATGAAATTGATTTGCTACTTGAAGAGCTATTATTGTACTGCCATACTATTTCTCTGTTTTATATCTGTTATTATCATATGTTCTTTGCTAAACTTGGTTATATTAATATTCACGCTATAATATCTGAATTGGTAATTTCATTAAATTTTCACTTATCTTTCTTTTGTATATACTGGGTTTTCTTGCTAGAACCGAGATCATCTATATAATTATCACTTGCTAATATATCACTACTTAGCTATTTTTTCAATCTGTTGATCTACTATCAACTTGAATTATTAAACAGCTATAAATTATATAACAAAAATATATATATATGATTATAACAATAACTATTATAATAATAGTAATTGTTAATACAAATATATAATAATAGTAATCATTAAAATAATAGTAAGGGCAGTGTTATTTATCATCTAATTATTTTTTATCAGAGGCTTCCCCTCTTAATATAAAAAAAAATCAGGTTCTTATATATAATTTTACCTTTTTTTACCTCCTCTTCTCCTAAAAAATCATTTGATTTTTATCACGTCTCTAACCATTAATAGTAACTATTGTATATAATAATAGCAGTAACCATTATAATAACAGTAACTATTAATAGTAACTATTATCATATAATAATAGTAGCTATTAATAGTAACTATTATTATTATCATATAATAATAGTAACTGTTAACAGTAACTATTATCACATAATAATAGTAACTGTTATTTTATATTATCATGCAAACTCTTATGATCATAGATTTTTTTTCTTTTTGTTATTTTTTGTATATTATTACGTAAGCACAACAATCTCGAATTAAAACTCAGTTAGCCAACCACAACTCATAAATCATGATCATAATTGCACGATAATATTGTTATTGGATCATGCAATGATAAATATCACAAAATTTGTTCTGTTGGAGCAAATGATTGGCTGAAACATGCCGCTATGTGGCACATGTTAGCTAATCATTTGCTCTGACAAAACAAATTTCATGATATTAATCGTTGCATGACCAATATCTTATACTTAACAGTTATTATAAATTCAGATATTTATTAAATAATTAAATTATTTATTTATTAATCTATTTTAACTGTTTATCTATTAAAATTGGATATCCAATAAATAAATAGATAAATAGTTGATAAATTAAACCTCTAGTAATAGTTTAATAATAAAGTTAAGCAAAATCTATAGTAAAATTTTGCAAAAAATTTTTTTTGTTAGAGCTTGAAAGATAGTTTTATAGACAAAATTTTAAGATATGATTAATTTTTTAAAAAAAATTTTTGTTTTTATTATACAAAACTGATCTATACATTACACCTGATCTTGGGCTAATTATATATTAGTGATTATTACCAGTGGTAATAAATAGCAAACTTTTAAACTTTAATAAACTATAATATTGATTTAAATCTTTATTATAACTATAAATATTTTTAATCTTTTAAAATATTTTTACTAAGTAAAATTTATTTATTAATACTTTTTTATCTATTGATCAAGACATTAAAAACATTTTATATCTATATCTATACTATATATTAAAAATATTTGTATATAATAATAATATTTAGATTACTTTATTTATATTATATAATGATAATATTTAAACTATTTGTATAAATTATTAATTTAATTGTATAATTGTAGATTATTATATTTATTTATATTAAAAATTAATTTTTTAAATTTTAAATAAGATAATCTTTCTTGAGCTTCTAATTAAAATTGTAAAAAAGATTTTCTAGTTCTAATAGTATTTAAATTATTAAAATTAGCTTAATAGATCTCAAGATATTTTAAATTAAAAAATATAGAATAACTTTTTCATGATTGATTAATTACATAAAATTGAATAAAATATTATAATTAACTATCAATGCAATATATAACAATCAACCAATCAAACTACATTATATTTATAATTTTAATTTTTTATTATTTTTTTATTTTTATAAAAGAAAAAAGAAGTAAAAAAGATATATATATATTTTTTTTGGGAAAATGTTTTTTGTGCATCTGCATAATTGTGTACCCTATATAATTAGCCAGTAAAATTTAATCATGTATTTTGATAATCGTTTTGATTTTGTTTGTTGCTTTTGTTTTGCTTTTGTCGCTTTTGCTGCTTTTGCTTTTGCTGTTTTTGCTTTGCTATTTTGCTTTTGCTGCTTTTGCTTTGCTGTTTTTGCTTTGCCATTTTCACTTTGCTGCTTTTGTTTTATTGTTTTTGCTTTGCTGTTTTTGCTTGGTTGTTTTTGCTTTGTTGTCTTCACTTTGCTGCTTTTGCTTTCGCATATTATTCTTTTCAATTTCTTTTTTTTTACTTCTTTGTTTTCGCTTCTTTTTTGCTTTTCTTTTTTGCTTTTCTTTTTTTTCTCACTTCTTTTCTTT